AACAAGAGGACTTGAGACTTTGTGTGGCCCTGGCCTCAGTGACTGTTGGAATTTCCAGCACTGTGGCTGGGGCCACACAGGCCCACCTGTTGGCACTAGCCATTGACCTACACTTTCAAGGACATCCTGGACCTCCACCTGTCATCCTCCTGCCTGCCACAGTTGAAGGACTTTCACATCTGCAAGTTTCCAAAGCATCCTCACCAGAGAAGATTTCCCAGTGGAACCCTGCAGCAGCATTCCTGCCCAAAAAACCATTCCCCACTTGGTAAGATGTCTGTTTAATTTTTCTATTAGTATGACATTATAAGGAATGTTTGTGTGAATAAACTGACCATATTCGAAAAGCAAATCCTATGTGGGCATCCCAAGTGCTGAAGGCCTTACAGGCTCTCTGCACACCATGACCAAGTTGGCTTGGTTCAGAGATGCAGGAAAGGTTCTGCATATGGAAATCAATAAATATATCATATAAATAGACTCAAGGTCAGAAATCACCTGATCATCTCAACAGATGTGGAAAAGGGAGATTTTAACAAAAGTCCATGATAAAATCCCAAAAGAAATTAGCAATAAAAGGAATATATCACAATATAATAGGACTGCACATGACAAACCTGTTACCAACATTATACTAAATGGAGAAAAACTCAAAAGCATTTCCACTAGTATGAGGAACAAGACAATTTCTCCATTTATCTTCAATATACTACTTAAAGACTTAGCTGAAGCAATAAGGCAAGAAAAGGAAATACAAGGATGCAGATACAAAAGGCAGAAGATCAAGAAGCCCCATTTCCAAATGGTGATTTTGTACATGAGATGCTATAGACAACCAGGAAACTCTTAGATCTGATAAGGGAAGTGACAGGATACAAAATTAGCATACAAAACCCAGCAGCCTTCCAATATTAAAATAACAAATAAACCAAAGGGGGAAAAATCAAGAACAATCCTATTCACAATTGTCTAAAAAAAAGAAAAGTACCTTGGCATAAACCTAACCAAGGAAAGTAAAAGATTTCTACAATTAAAACTTTTAAGTACCCAAGAAAGAAACCGAAGACAACATAGAAGTGGGAAAGATCTCCCATATTAATGGATTAGAATAATTAATATTGTGAAAATGGCTACCTTATCAAAAGTAATCTACAAATTCAATGCAACCGTCTTGAAATTCTAATGTTATTTTTCACAGAAATAGAAAAAAAAAACAGTAAAACCCCCTTAAGATTCATATAGAAGCACAGAAGACCCCAGAAAGCAAAAGCAATTCTGAGCAAAAATAGTAATGCTGAGCTGGGCGGTGGTGGCGCACGCCTTTAATCCCAGCACTCGGGAGGCAGAGGCAGGCGGATCTCTGTGAGTTCGAGGCCAGCCTGGGCTACAGAGTGAGTTCCAGGAAAGGCACAAAGCTACACAGAGAAACCCTGTCTTGAAAAACCAACCAACCAACCAAACAAACAAACTAGTAATGCTGGTATTATCATTTCACTTCGTTTTAAGTCACTCTACTGAGCTGCAGCAACAAAACCAGCAATGGGTCCTGGCATGAAAACAGATCCATAAATCAGTGGAATAAAAGAGTAGATTCAGTTCAAGGCCAGTCTGGTCTACAGAGCGAGTTCCAGGACAGGCTCCAAAGCTACAAAGAGAAACCCTGTCTCAAAAACAAAAACAAAAACAAACAAACAAATAACCCAAAACAAAAACAAACAAACAAAAACCAGTAGACTCAGACATGAATCCACACAATTACAGCTATCTGAATTTGACAAAGATGCCAGGCATACGCACCAGAGAAAAACAGCATCTTCAACAAATATGGTGAGAAAACTGATTATGTACAAGAACAAAAATTAGATCCCTATATCCCACCCTCTACAAAAAAGCAACTTCCCCAACACCCCCAACAAACAAATCAACTCCACATGTATCAAAGATCTTAAGACCTGAAACTCTGAAACTGTCATGGAAAAATGAGAGAAAGCACTTTGATGATTTAGGCAGGCAATTACTTCTTGACTAAGGCACCCAGGAAATAATATCAACAATCAACAAATGGAAGGAACCCCGTGAAACTAAAAAGCACAGCAAGACAAGCAGTTAACTGAATGAAGAGGCAGGATATAAAATGGAAGAAAAATCTTTGCTAGCTATACATCTGATATAGAACTAATATCTAGAATACAGAGAGAATTCAAAAAATGAAACAAGACATCATATAACCTAATCAAACAGTAGGCTAATGAAATGAACAGAAAGTTCTCAAAAGATGAAATACAAATGGCCAATAAACATGTAAGAAAACCTTCAATGTCATTAGATATCAGATAAATGCAAATTAAGACTATAATATTCCATTTCACCCCAGTCACAACAGAAGTTATAAGAAAACAAATAATAGCCGGGCGGTGGTGGTGCATGCCTTTAATCCCAGCACTCGGGAGGCAGAGGCAGGTGGATCTCTGTGAGTTCGAGGCCAGCCTGGACTACCAAGTGAGTTCCAGGAAAGGCGCAAAGCTACACAGAGAAACCCTGTCTTGAAAAACAAAAAAACAAAAAAACAAAAAAACAAAAAAGAAAACAAATAATAGCAAATAATAGCAAGTGCAGGTGATTATGTGGAGAGACAGGAACCCTTATCAACTGCTGGACAGGCTGTACACTAGTCCAGTCACTTGGGAAGCCATTTAAGAGGTTTCTCAGAAAGCTAAAAGTGGACACACACACACACACACACACACACACACACACACACACACACACACAGACAGCAGAAAAAGTTCAGCCATGAACAAGAATGCAGTTATGTTGTTTGCAGGAAGATGGATGCAACTGAACATGACTATCAATCCAGTCTTAGAATGCTAAATATCCCATGATTTTGCTTAATTGTGATTGCCAGGTTTTATATAGACATATAACATCATGCACACATATGTGACATGAAGTAGAAATGAAAACATTTAGGGAAAATAATGGTAAGAATGGGAGAGAAAGGTATGATAGGTGGTTAAGCTCAACATACAATATATACTTGTATCCAGATGTCCTTTTATCCTAAGACCATAAATCAACACAGTGAAAATCTAAAATAGAATGTGTATACACAATATATTGTGATTCAAACATATATATTTATATGCACATATAAGCATGTATGGACCTGTCTTAGTTAGGGTTTCTATTACTACAATGAAACACCATGACCAAAAAGCAAGTTTTGTAGGAAAGGGTGTATTTAGCTTACACTTCCATAGTTCATCACTGCAGGAAGTAAGAACAGGAACTCAAGCAGAGCTGGGACCTGGAGGCAGGAGCTGATGCTGAGACCATGGAGGGGTGCTGCTTACTGGCTTGCTCCCCATGGCTTGTTCAGCCTGCTTTCTTATAGAACCCAGGACCACCAGCCCAGGGACAGCACCATGCACCATGGGCAGGGCCCTTCTCCACTGATCACTAATTGAGAAAAAGGCCTTACAGCTGGATCTTATAGAGGCATTTCCTCAACTGAGACTCCTTCCTCTCTGATGACTCTACCTTGTGTCAGGCTGACATAAAACCAGCCAGTATAGGACCATACACATTTTTTTATAGTTTGGGTACATAACTGAAATCATATTGCATATGGCCATTAAAATCTTCTAAAGGAAGACTTTGAATGGCTGTAGCAAATTGTTTTCTATGAATACATCATAATTTACTTAGCTTAATGCTACACTTGAAGACACTGCATAAAATTTCCTTCATTAAAATTTCATAAGAGTGCTTATATCTACAAAAAGAAATGTGTAGGAATCTCAGAGCACTCTAATAGTTTCCAGGGGAGGAAAAAAAAGAACAAAGTCAGATTATTTGCAAGAAAGTGGATGGAACTAGAGATATCTTGTTAAGTGAAATAAATCTGACCTAGAAAGATAACTATCACCATGTGTTCTCTCATGTGCAGAATCTGAAGAAAAAATAATGAGGGGACATGAAGTAGAAGGGAAGCTTCTAGGGACATCCAATGCCCACTTCTGCAGCCAGCAAGGGACAGAGGCACACACACCTGCACATACACAGACAGAGGAGGGGGATGGGTGGGTAAGACAGGGTAACATATGTGGTAAGTAAAATAAGATGTTTTATATATGAATGGAATTGTCAAAACGAAACCCAGCATTTTGCACAATTTATAAATGCTAAAAAATTTAAAAGTAAAAGGGCAATCCTCCCCCCCATAAAATGCTGATGTTCAAGTTGGTCTAAAAAGGTTGTAGTACTTACTTATGTATAGTGTGTATCATCTGTGGAAATGGAAAACCTGCTTAGTTTTCCACAGTATTAAACGATCAAAAGTATAAGATCTTAGTAGATCAATTGTCAAAGGATCACTAATGGTTTGAAAGTTTCCAGGATACTAATTACTTTAAATGCTTTAAAAAATGTTCTACCACTAAAAATTAAAGATTATTAACATTCTAAAAAGAAATTACAATAAAAAGGCAAAACTGTATTTCAAAAAGCATTTTAAAATTCAGCCATCAGGAAAGTAGATTTCACCAGACATGGTCTTCTTATTAATCTATTACAAATATTTTTAAATGAAATGAATGGATTTAAAAAATAATATGAGCCCTCTTCTGGCCTTCATGTGTCGTGTGTGTGTGTGTGTGTGTGTGTGTGTGTGTGTGTGTGTGTGTGTGTACACTGTTAGGTCTTAGTTTGTGAAATGATATGAAGACATTTCTCTTTTTTAAAAAGATTTATTTTATCTTATGAGTGTGAGTGTTTTGCCTACATGTAATCTGAGCACCGTATGTGCACCTGGTGCCCACAGAGGTCAGAGGAAGGCACTGGAGCCCTGGGCATTGGAGTTATGGATGGCTGTGCACCACCACATGGGCTGTTAGGAACCGAGACCAGGTCCTCTGCAGGAGTGATCAGTGCTTTCCACTGACGAGCCACCTCTCCAGCGCCGTTTCTTTATGTAGTAGACTAAAAGACAATCCTACCTCTGGGAGGAATTCGTGAACTCTTCTTCTCAAACAGCTTTTGCTCTGTGACTCTTGTCACTGTAAGAGAAAAAACAAAACAAAACCACCCTCACATTAGGAAGTAACAGAAAGGGCTGCAGAGATGGCTTAATGGGAAGACAGCTTGCTGAGCAATTATAAGAATTAGAATTCGGGTCTCCGCACCCATCCAACAAGCTGAGAATCTTAAGCATGACTATATTCCCAGCTAAGTAGGGTGGGACAGGAAGATGCCTAAGACTTGCTGGCTTCCAGCCTAGATGAGAAAACGTAAGCCCCAGGCTCACAGAGAAACCCCGATTTACAGGAACAGACAGTGATAGGACACTCCATGCTTGCACACAGCTGTGCACAGCACCTGCATGCACACTTAAATATACACTCTTCAATACAAACATAAAGGCACACACAATCTTTTTTTTTTTTTTAAGAATTGACATGAAATATTTGAGTGTGGTTGGCACACACCTATAACCCCAGCATTCAAGAGGCTGAAAAAAAAAAAAAGAGGATTGCTGTGATTTCAAGAACACCCTGGGCTGCATAGTGAATCCAAGGACAGCCTGGGCTATGAACAAACCAACATGGAATATAAACGAATAATTCCTCATTATTTGGAAGAAGCAACTCTTTAGGAAAAAAAATAATTCAAAGTGATACATACTATAGGTATCAAGCACAACACAGTGCCCTCTTATTATCTTCCTCTGAAAATGAGCTCAGTATAAAGGAAGACTGCTAAGCAGTCTCCAATGAGCAATCTTTTCTTCCACATTCAAGAGGAAGCCATCAAACAACATATCCTGATAAAGCACACATACCTCCTTTTCTAATGAGGTAACAGTACTTCTATCTGGACAGCTTTGAATATGTGTGATCTATCAGATTGAAACTTGAGAAACATTAGGAGGTTTATCTTTAAAATTACTAACATTAAAAATACAGGGGCTGGAGAGATGGCCCAGTGGTTAAGAGTACTGGCTGCTCTTCCAGAGGTCCTAAGGTCATTTCCCAGCACTCACATGGTGGCTCACAACCACCTATAATGGAATCCAATGCCCTCTTCAGGTATGCAGACAGACATGCAGACAAAACACCCATATACATAAAATACATAAATTTTTAAAAATCTTTAAAAATACATTAATCTTTCTTACTTAGTTCTCTGGTTTTCTCCACTTCTCTTTTTAAGAAACATGGTACTAGGGAAATGCCAATGAGATCTTCAAGTTGTCTGTTGTTCTCCAAAGCCTAAAAGAAAACTATTTTTAGTGAGTTAAGCAAGTTCTCTATGGCTAAGAGATTATTTACAAAGGGAATACAATACATTGTATTCTTCATTTAAAAAAAAATCTTAAATTAGGAAATTTGAGTTTTCCTAGTAAATCAAGTATATCAAGCCCTATCATGACTCAATAATACTAATTTTTTTTTGGGTGGTGGTGGTAGAGGTTTGAGATAGGATTTCTCTATGTAGTCTTGGCTGTCCTGGAACTCATATGTAGACCAGGCTGGCCTCGAACTCAGGAGAGTGATCTGCCAGCCTGTGCCTCCTGTGAGTGAGGATTAAGGGAGTATAGTATATCACTATGCTCAGTTAAGAGCAGTTTTTTTTTTAAGTTATTATTTTTAAAAGACTTAAACATGCCAGGTGTGGTGATACATGCCTTTAATTCTAGCACTTTCAAGGCAGAAGTAGGTGGATCTTTGAGGCCAGCCTGGTCTACATGGTTGAGTTCTAGGAGCCAGAGCTACATGGTGAGACCCTATCTCAAACAAACAAAACAACAACAACAACAACAACAACAAAAAACCCTTAAACATCATCTAAAAAATTACTTTTAAATGAGAAAAAGTCAGCTATTACTAAAATATTACAGATAACCATTATGTATTATAACCAAGGAGATTCCCGTGAGAAATAAATTAAATATATACTCTGCAAACTCTTGACTAGACTGGATTCTCAAATACAAGGCTTCTTTTTTATCCTTTTCAAAACAGATAGTGGAGGTAAAATTATATAAGAAAAGTGCAAACCTGTATACTACTTAATTTTTTCATTATCTCCATGGTCTTTTCTGATGATCTCTCAATTTTAGATAGCAACACCATGAATCTAGGCATGAACAGACAAGCATAGTTACTAAGAATAAGCACATAAATGTGTCAGGTCACAGGGCTGTAATTCTAGTCCAAGAGACAGATTCTGGTCTCTAGCCCTTTCTTCACATGTCAAGGAGGTAACATATGTAAATGTTCCCCCTTCATTTTGACATTCCTTTATAAGCACAACACACATTATTAATCATCTTCTCAGAGTCTGCTCGTTCCTGCTTCCATTCCCATCCATCTGTGAGAGGGGAGACACAGCTGCCTCTCTCCTTTCCATACATCCTTCTTGAGGTAACATCCCACTGTTCACTTACTATGGTCTGAGACTGCAGGGCCGTGCTGCCTAGGAACTTAGTTCAGTGTGAAAAAGATACAAAAGCAATCTCTTAAATTTGAAATAAAGGGGAAAAAAACTACTTACATTCTACCTTGTGATCTCATTACTAATCAGTAGGTTGGAAATTTTTTCCTTAGGATTTAAACTTTATTTTTTTAAGTTTAAATCAGCGGTTTTCAACCTGTGGGTTGTGATCCCTTTGGGAGTCGCATATCAGATATTTACATTACCATTCTTAACAGTAGCAAAGTTACAGTTATGAAGTAGCAACAAAATAATTTTATGGTTGGGGGTCACTAAACACGAGGAACTGTATTAAAGGGATGCAGCATCAGGAAGGTTGAGAACCACGGGTTTTAAATCATGTTTTCTTTACTTAAAATATAAACTTTTTTGGGAGAGGGGAGTGGTTTTTTTTTTTTTTTTTTTTTGCTTTGTTTTGTTTTTGAGAAAGAGTGCTAAAATGTAAGTCTGGTTGGCTTGGAAAGGGCTATGTAGCCCAGGCTGGCCTCAAATATGTAGCAGTTCTCTTGCTTCTGCTTCTAGAGTGCTGGAATCATGGCATGGACCACTACACCTGTTTAACTTTTTTTTTTGTGTGTGTGTGTGGTTTTTTTGAGACAGGGTTTCTCTGTGTAGCTTTGCGCCTTTTCCTGGATCTCGCTCTGTAGACCAGGCTGGCCTCAAACTCACAAAGATCCACCTGCCTCTGCCTCCCGAGTGCTGGGATTAAAGGCGTGTGCCACCACCGCCCAGCTCTGTTTAACTTTTGAGGGAGTATATACACCATAAATGTATGAAATTTAAAGGCTGAATATATATATACTATGGAATAAACAAGCCAAAGATAACTTAATCATTTCCTCATTGTTGCAATTTCAGGTTATATTCTAATTTTGAGATCTCCTCACCATCTACTAATACATATCAAGTATAACAGCAATGTAAGGTCACAAATATACTCTTCTAGTAGCTGTATTAAAAGGAATAAAAAGAAATAGTTAAAATTTAATAACATTATTTAGCTCAAAATATTCGAAGTATTATTACTTACACATGTAATTAATATAAAAATTTCTGAGATATATTTGTATTTTTCATGTCTGGTATGTATTTACACTGAAACATCTCATTCAGACTAGCCACATTTCAAATGCTTTTTAGCTACATAACTGTTTGAGACAGCACAAATCTATAGCATTGACTTTATAAGGACCCAGAGAATTTATTTAAAAGCTTTTCAAGATTACGTCAGTGCTGACACATTAAAATTTCAGTTATTAAAGATGAATGATAGGTTAGTTTCCATACACAGCACACAGTATGTTTAGACTAAGCAGAACACAAGCAATAACAGCAGGAAGGACTGTGGACACGACAGCATACGCCAAAAGATGAAGGTTACTGGAGGGCAGAGGAGTTAGGGAAGATATTTTCTTTAAAAATTTTACTGCATTAATATGAATTTCAATTAGAAGTCATCTGTCTTGTGGCCTATTTGCTTAATACTGAAACTTCAGTTTGAGATGGTAGCCCAAATCCTACAGGAATAGGGACTTTCAGGTGTGTGTGGACATGTGGCCAAGGACTGAGTATGGCCAACACAAAGTCATAAACTGCCATCAAACATGAGTTGTCTTTTTGATTTTTTAAATAATTATACAGTTCTCAAATGTGAACTTTGTAGACACAATGTTATGTCATAATACCAAAAGGATAAACATGTCTAAGTGCCCCCCGAATGCAAAGTGCAGCCAGGTACACTACTTTAGTAAAGGGACATCTTATTTCTTGTTGCTTTTTTCATGGGAAAATACTGCCCTGCCACACCTCAAAGAAATGATGCTCCTTCTTGTTGACCTTCAGGGAGTGATGTGGGTAGGGTTGAGCCCTGAGGTCTGCTATCTTAAAAACTATAAGGGTCTCCTCACAAGAGTCAGATGTGCATGAGGCTTCCAGGAACTACACAATGTAATATCCCCAAAAGGACCTAGTAGTACCTTTCCCAAATTAAGCGAGCAATTGAGGAGCTCTGGGTTCAAGTGAGCAAGGCAACTCTGCCCCTACCCCAATATCTATATAGTGGAGAGCAACCAAGAAAGATGCCCAATGCCAACCTTTGGCCTCTGCATGCATGCAAGTATGAACATGTATGCATGCAAGCATACTTGTACATGCAACAACATTCATATAAAAATTTAAGTTGCTGACAGCTTAGAAATAATATCTGTAAACAGTTTATCAGTGAGAACTCTTGTTTGTAGCTGTAAAACACCTTTCCCCCCTATGAACTTGTGATGGTTGTTCTTGCTTGTCAACTTGACTACATCTGGAATTAACTAAAACTCAAATGGCTAGGCACACTCTTTTCTTAATTAAGTAATTTGAAGTGGAAAGACCCACTTCTAATCCAGATCTTTGAGGTGGGAGGAGCCACCTTTAGTCTGGGCCACACCTTCTGCCTAAGTATGGACGTGGAAAAAGGAAGCTGGCTCTTTTTGCTGGCTTGTTCTAGTTCTCCCTGGCCAGCCCATCCCTTCCCTGACATTAGAGCCTACTTCTTTAGGATTCCAGTGTGTACTGAAGACCACTTGAGGCATCCAGCCTTGTGGACTGTGTAACTACTGGATTCTTGGACCTTATGTTGGGAGACAGCTGGACCACAACCTATGCCATTCTAATAACCCATCCATATACATACATACATACATACATATATGTATACAGTATGTATATAACTCCAGAGAATGGAGTTATGTAAGAATATGGCAGTTCTTCAATAAAGGAGTGATTATGAAATTATTAAAAAGATCCTTTTACAAAATGAAGTTTCAGGTCAATGAGATGTCTCAGTGGTTAAAGGTGCTTGCTGCCCAGCTTAATGACCTGAATTTGATCCTTGAACCCACATGTCAGAAGGAGAGATGGACTTTTGCAAGTTGTACTCTGACCTCTGTGTGGATGGTCACACACACACACACACACACACACACACACACACACACACACACACACACACCACACCACACCACATCACACAGTATAATACAAATATTAAGATAAAAAAGCTTCAAAATAGTCCAGCTTATCATCCCACATTTTCAGTTGGTACTTTGACATCTCAAGGTCATAAAAGCTGTTCTACATTTTTAAGATATTTACTCTTTTTTTAAAAAAGATTTACTTATTTATTATGTATACAGTGTTCTGTCTGCATGTTTGCCTGCACGCCAGAAGAGAGAATCAGATCTCATTAGAGATGGTTGTGAGTCGCCATGCTCAGGACCTCTGGAAGAGCAGTCAATGCTCTTAATTTCAAGGCCATCTCTCCAGCCCAAGATATTTACTCTCTTAGCTTCCACACTCAGGCCTTGAATCCATTTGGAGTTGATTTTGTCTTTAGTGTGAGGTAAGGTTCAGATCCAATTTCCCCATATTACCAGCCCTGTCTTTGTAGAGAATTATCAGTCATTTAGACAGAATACCTCTACTGTGAAGAAAAACAACCAACCCAGCTCAACCCAAACTTCTATAAACCATCTTAATCCTTTAATTCTAATGTGTAGATTACTGAACATCTTTTAAACACGTTCTTTCTATCTGAGCAGATTAACTTTGAGGATATTCTAGGAAATTACTGATGAAAATTCTCATAATAAAATGGTATTCTGGGCTTCTGAGATGGCTCAGTGGGCAAAGATGCCTGCTACCAAGCCTGACAGCTTGAGTTCAGTCCTCAGGAGCCGCATGGTAGGACACAATGGATTCCATCAAATTGTCTTCTGACCTGCCCATGTACTTACTCCCTTGCCCTCCCAAATAAATGAAATGTAATCAAATTTGAAAGAAAATGGCATTCTTATTACATATGAGTTTCTCTTAAAATTGACTGCTACCTTTATGACTTACCATCACAGTGAATTTTAAAATGTGTAGAGTAGGGCTGGAGAGATGGCTCAGGGGTTAAGAGCACTTGCTGCTCTTGCAGAGGACCCGGGTTCAGTTCCCAGCACCACATGGTGGCTCACAACTGCATGTGACTCCAGTTCTAGGGAATGTGACACCCTCTCCTGACCTCCTCGGGCATCAGGAACACATGTGGTACATATACATACATGCAGGCAAAACACTCATACACATAAAATGAAATAAACAAATCTTTAAAAAAAATCTTAAAATGTGGATAGTATAGGTTTAACAGTGAATCTACAATGATTCCAAAGTACCAAAGCCTGATGAACATTCTGGAAACAGGCACCTTGAATTTCCTTTTTCCGTGCCTCTCTTGACTACATGATATTTGCACAAAGGAAAAACAATGAGGGAATATTGCTACAATATTTTAAGATAATTTAGAACTAATTCATAAATGTGTTCCATTTAACTTGAGACTTAAAAGAAAACAATAGTGGTTTTCCAAAACAGGAAGAGAAATCTTAAAAAAAATTAAAAACGGATCTCAGATAAGAATGAAAAAAATTTTAAAGTGGAAAAAATAATTTTAAAATGAATTATTTTTTATGTATTTCAAAGTATATCCACTTAAATTTAATAATTTTAACACTAAATGGTGTGGTTTTCAGAAACAAATGTTGACAGAAATTAATGAAATGAATTAATGAAATTCTAGCCTCCACTCTCACAGTGAACTTCTACACCTGAAGACAAAACATTTATCATACACATAAAATAAAAATAGATTAATCTTTAAAAAAATATTGACGAGCCGGGCGGTGGTGGCGCACGCCTTTAATCCCAGCACTCGGGAGGCAGAGCCAGGCGGATCTCTGTGAGTTCGAGGCCAGCCTGGACTACCAAGTGAGTCCCAGGAAAAGGCGCAAAGCTACACAGAGAAACCCTGTCTCGAAAAAACTAAAAAAAAAAAAAAAAAAATATTGACGAAAAAGAAAAGAAAAAGTAAGGAGTAAAACACTTGGCTGGGTCGGTGACATGGCTCAGGTGATAAAGGGGTCTGCTGACAAGCCTAAGCGCTTGAGTTCAATCCCCGAGACCACATGATGGAAGGAGAGCACTGAGTCCTAGAGGCTATCCACGTGCGGGCGCACACACACACACACACACACACACACACACACACACACGCACGCGTGCGCACGCACACACACAATAAATAAATGTAATAAAGAATTTTAAAGAGCAATACTTTATAAATACAGTATTTGTGGGGTAGGGAAGCAAAGAACATGAACACATTTGATGGCATGGAGAATGTGGCTAGGGAAGAGAACCCATAAAGCAAGTAAAGAGGTGCTGTCGGAGATGCTAAGCAAGGCTTCCCAGAGGACTTCTTCATCACTACGGTGTTTTAACCAGCACTTAGTAACCAGTACTAGTCACTTATGAAACAAATGACATCTGATCTGATGTAAAGTGAAGTTTGGACCCACTTAGAGCTCATGGTCTTATGTTGTAAGTTAATATATCCTCCTCAACTTAGAAATGAGTTATGTTGAAAACTGCAGATTCTAACACTATTAGAATGGAAAATGTGAGTTCTGTTGTGGGATATTTTGATTGCACTCTGACATTCCCAAGACTGCCAATAAAGTTTACCTTGACTCAGAGCAGTGCTAGCTGAACAAATTAGCCATAGAGGTTTGAAGACTAAGGACATATACAGAGGCACAGGAAATAGTAGGGAGGGGCTTGGAGAGATATTTGGCCCTTTTGGATAGAGGAAGGAGAGAAAAGGAGGTCACTGGTCGCTTCTCCACCACTTCTCTGATCAATCAGTTTCTTACCTAGATAACTGATTCCTGAATTTTTATTAATAAAGAATAATTAGATAAATGATTGAGAGTTCCATATAAATGATTTAGAAAACATTTCAGCATAACTCATTCTAAATTGAGGAGGATATATTAACTTACAACATAACACCATGAGCTCTAAGTTGGTCCAAACTTCACCTTATATCCTCTGAGTGATTATTTTGTAAGTGGCTGCAGGACCGTGGGGTGGGGCGGGACCAGAGAAACATGGGACAGCAGGGTCGGGTCGGACCGGAGAAACTTATAGCTACATGGAGGTATTCTTAGTCTGACCCCAAATTGATCTATACACACCAGCCCAGATCTAGGCTCGAGTAATATTAAAATTAAAGCATTATACACTTCCACAACATAAGCTCTGTAAGACACCACAAATACTTTCCTTAACAACAAAGAGTTAAAAAAAGAAAATCATGTAAAATAAATACATGTATAGATAGAATAATCCAGCCCAGTTATAAACTACTAATTTACAAAAATAAATGATTTTTCTTAAATTGCCACTTTAAAGAAAGTCAAGCTTTTCCTGAATAATATTCAGTGACTGTAACTTCAACACCAAGCTTACTCATCACTGTCTTTTGCTGTGGACTCCTTTCTTGTAGGTGAGCTGAGGTTATTCAGTTTCTTCTTTCCTATATCAGTGTAACAAAGAAAAGAACACAATGTTAAAGAGACAATTGGCCCAATTTTAATCGACTGAATTGCCAAATTTTAGCTACCTATAATTCAGCATTTGAAAGACAGAACTGGGAGGACAGAGGCTGGACTGATGTGCATTGCCTGATACAGCTTAGAAAGCAAGCACACAACAGAGATGAATTTAGACTGCTGACGTTAAACAGGAAGTAGAGGGGAAAAACAAAAGGGAAGTAAGAAAGAAAAAAGTTTCCTATTTTGTTTTTTCATTTTCTTTCTTAAAAAAAAAAATCTTGACCAAAAGTTAATTTCCTGAATTTTGTACTACACTGCATATACTCAGTAAAGCTCCAAAATAAAATATTAAAATTGCTTCCTTAACTTGTAATTCATTTTCACATTTTAGCCCTAGAAGCCAGTGGCAGCCTAGATTATTTTACTAGTACTTTTAGAAGGTGTCCAATGCCTTTATAAATATTTTTATTATTTCATAATAATTAACCATATATTAGCCAATATGTGGATCAACAAAAATCTTGGTTTTCTTAGGTCTTTAGATACTTTTCAGTTGCTAAATAGGACTTTAAATATCTCCCAAAATAACATTTTTCAGTTGATAGTTCTCTCTTCATTTCATTATACTTAAAAAGTAAACACAACATATGCCTGGCTTGGTGGCACACACCTTTAATCCCAGCACTTGGGAGGCAGAGGCAGGTGGATGGATGAGTTCAAGGCCAGCCTGGGCTACAGAGCGAGTTACAGGCAACCAGGGCTACACAGAGAAACCCTGTCTAGAAAAATCTCAAAAAACAAAAACGAAAAAACTAACCAAAAAGGAACACAGTATATATTAAAGGAATATGGAATCATACTGGCATTTTTCTTTCTAGGTTACACACACGTTTTAACAATTGTGTTCTTGACTTTTTTTAAGTGCAGCTTTACAAAACACTGATTATAAGTGTACTATCACTGAATCTGTACTACATTCAGAGCTGTATTTGAAGTTTCTGGTGGATCCAGGAACTAATAAAAATAGCTTTCAGTGGCTGAGACTTGATAGAACAAGTAATGGTGATGACGACCCTGGTTAACATATGGCACTTATTAGGGCCAGCCACTGTTTTAAACAAGGAACACAAAATAATTAACCTAAGCTGGGCATGGTGGTGCATGCCTGGAATCCCAGAACTTCTGAGGTGGAGGCAGGAGGACCAAAAATTCAAAGTCAGCAAGGGCTCAGCATGACGAAGACAAGAGCTGCTAAAACATGGGAAGAAAAATGGGTTGGTACTTGATGGATGAACGGCTTTTAAAATCCCAATAAGGGTTTCGGTTTCCAGGGTCAGGAAGAGGGTTCAGTGGGTAAAAGTGCTTGTCACAGAACCCTGGTGATCTGAGTTCAGCCCCAGGAGTCCATGCACAAAGTAGGTGTGGTGGTGCACATTTGTAACCCCAGTACCTCCAGAGGAGACAGGAGTCAGAGAGAGGAGAATCACTCTGAAGCTCCCACGCCAGTTAGCTCAGAGAATGCAGCCCAGCAGCAGAAACAAGTGCAACAAGGTGAAAGGTGAGAATTTATGCTCAAAAGTTGCCCTCTGACCTCCACATTCCAACTGTGAGACTTGAACATACAAAATCTAAGTATAAGGGGTTGGGGTTTATTATCAAGTATAATGAGAAGCAAGTAGAAATAAAACGTTATTTAAATTTCTCATTAGAGTTTGAACAATATTTTAAAAGGGGGAAATAGTAAAGGAGGTCATGACTTCACCTGAATTTTTTTTTCTTTGGTTTTTCGAGACAGGGTTTCTCTGAGTAGCTTTTTGCCTCTCCTGGAACTCACTTGGTAGCCCAGGCTGGCCTCGAACTCACAGAGATCTGCCTGGCTCTGCCTCCCGAGTGCTGGGATTAAAGGCGTGAGCCACCGCTACCCGTCCTTCACCTGAATTTTAAATTACTTTATAAGTTACATTTTCTAACTTGGAACTTATGATATCTGATAATGATTAGGAGACAGGGTTTCTCTGTGTAGCTTTGCGTAGGTTTTCTTATTTCTAAAGCATGCAGAAGATTTATTAGGATTGGGAGTATGATTACAAATGACATGATCTAATTCAGGACCTTAAAGTTTTATATGTGATATGTGTGTATAAAATATGTATATATATATTCATAGTTGTGTGTATATATGTATATACATATACTCATACACACATAGCTACCAGAGTAAATTAAACATACATGTTCACTTTAATTAATAACTAGAGTGAATCAGTAATCACCACATAAGTCAAAAATTAGAATATTGCCAGCACCTCAGAGACCCCTGCAGTTTGACTTTTTAAAAAAGAGCATACTTAGTACCTATAATGTGATAATTACCCATATAAATGTCAAGTGAGATCATGTGACCAATCTTTTTATGAGCAAAAGGAATGTTCCCTTAAGTCCATATTTAATTTCAATATGGAAATTGAGTATGTATCAATTTAAAATCTATTGAGATTTTCATACAGAGATATGCACTCTCTAAGCTATTATTTTTTAATTAAGAAAATATATAAGTATATAAAACTATAGAACTTGAGAGAAATATATAGGTTTTTATAAATTTTCTGAAAACAAACATAATATTAATAGCTTTAGGATAAAAGCATTTGATTAAACTAAAATCAAAGACACTCAAAAGCTTAATATCTTATGTGTTTATTTAAATAAAGTAGGTAAAATGAGACCAATTTCTTCATAGATTCTAGTACATGCTTAACATCCAATAAATGTTAAACAATAAAATATGAATTCGGCTAGTTATAGCATATCTAAAATACATTTTATTAAATTTGAGCCTATTTAAAATTTTATATTGCAGAAAGTGACATGTCACTGATTCATGACCTTTTACAATATAAAAAAAATTAAGCATATGAAGTTGAGACTTGTGCCTTTAAATGTAGATCTTAGCAGTAAACTACTAGAGAACAACAAATATGTATGGTCAGAATTAAATGAAGAATGTTTTAAAATAATGATTTTATATAAAAATTAGGTTCTTCTATATGGAAAAGTTTCATAGCTGAAATACAATAGATGTAAACTATATAAACATATACTAAATGTGGGTAAAGCTAAATGAACAATATGGATAAAAATAACATTTAGAAGTGCCCCTCTTAAACTGCAGCATGGCAGTCCCTGAGTTCTGTGCCCTTTAATTTATGCACATGATGGATAGCTTGTTAAGGGCATATCTACCCATTATAATTGATAGTAGCTGAAGGCAGTCAGGCCATAATTTCTATTTAATGGATGGCATAGGAAGGGAACAGCAGTAGCATTTTAAAATAAGTGCCTACAAAGTTTACATTTATGTCCAAAGTAACATTTACATTCTAGCCTTTTCTATGTTGAATTCCTTGAGAATAGAGAAAAACCAGCTGCAACAAGAGCTATATATTACTAAATCAAAATCTTGATTTAACCAATAACTAGAAGAATCTTACCATAAGTGGAAAAGAATGTTCAACTAACCATTTGATGGTCCTTTTCCGCGCTCATGTTCTTTGGGGGTTGAGGGAGAAGAAAATGGGCTCATTTGATAAGTTCCAGTTGTTGGAGAATAAGCTGTAATACTTTTCTTCCTTCTGATTTTTGAAGGACTAAATGACTAGAAATAAATAATAATTTGGAAGAGAAGTACTTACATTTAGTTACAGATCTTTGAAAATACCTTAAGTAACTTAGGAAAATGCAAATTAATACCACTTTTCTTGCTCTTTCTTTCAGATTTTGAATATATTTATCACTTTCAAAGTGAACATTATTCCTCTCAAATGAGGTAGATATTTCAGAGCTCTACAATAATTAAGGCATCTCAATTTGATATTTATGAAAATTCAACATGAAACCTTATTAACTGCTGATATGTGTCCCAACAGTTTTAGACATGACAGACCAGGAAACTCTCAGGGGTGCTTGTTACTAAGGCCCACAGGAAGTTCTAGGAAAGCTCAGTGCTCTCCTCAGCCTACCCACACCTTTCTGTCAGTGTTCTGTGTAGACGAATTTCTAAACAATCTTATTAAATAAGAAACACACAGCCAAATACAGGGGTGCAAGCCATAGAGATCAGAGCAATAGCCGCCAACTAACCTTAGCTCACCACATCGCTGTAGCTTCCCCAGAGAGCCTCTTCCTGTTTAGCCTGCACCTTTATTGCCTTCCTGTTCTGCCTTCTCATTGGTTCTAAGCCCAGCCACATCACTTCCTCGTCACTGCCTGTCTATACAGACCTCCAGGTCTCTATGGTTGGTACTGGGATTAAAGGCATGTGTCACCATGCTTGGCTGTGTCCTTGACCACACAGAGACTCTGCCTGCCATGTGATCAGATTAAGGGTGTGTGCTACCACTGCCTGGCTTCTGTTTATGGCTGACTATGACCTCTGATCTCCAGGCAAACTTTATTTATTAACATACAAATAAAATATCACATTTTAGCACAAATAAAATATCACCCCAGTTCTGTCTTAAGGATAATCAAATCAGTGTCTGAACAACCCTGTCTGCCACTTGTACCCTCTGAAGCACTGGCTGCACACAGCTCCCTGCAGCTTTCTCCTTGGTCTTCTAAGCAGGATGTGTTTTGGTAATATTTTACATTTTTGCCTAGCCCATCAGAATTTGTTCCTGAAAATATGATTTATCTTTGTAAACTAGAGAACAAAAACATGTGTAAGAAATGAATGACTTAAAAAGAAAGTAAGCCATCCTACTCTACTCAATATACTCATGTGTTCACCAGGTCATTTATGAACTAACACCTACAATTTCCATTAGGAGATTCTGCACACGTGGGTCTCAAATCAGTCTATGATCTTAGCTTGGAATGTTATCTCTTATCTTCACCAAGGCTATTCTTGCTTTAGTCTAGGTCTCCAACTCATCATCTATCTGCTTTCTCTAAATACCCACTATCATGCTACTGTAGTTCCTCTAAGCCTTGTTTTCCATGATGCTTACTGATCACTTAACTAATGTGTATAAGGAAACATAATGAGGGGCTAGGAAGATAAATCAGCACAAGACTTGAGTTCAGAGCTCCAGAATCCGTATAAAGACAGATGAAATAAAACCCATCTGTAATCCCAGTACTCTTATGGCACAATTGTAGATCGTGACATGAGAATCCCACAAGCATGAGGACCTACGTTCAGATTCCCATTGCCCACATAAAGCCAGACCTGACAGCAGAAATCTGCAATTCTATTATTCTTCTACAGCAAGATGGGAGGCAGAGATAGGAGAACTTCTGTGGGTCAGCCAGCCTGGCAAACAGTCACCAACAAGGGAATCAGTCTCAAACAAGGTTGAATGTTGGGGAATATTACTTTAACTATGTAAATGTGTATGGCATTTATTTATGCTGCATTTGTTTAACTATGTAAAGATGTGTTGCATTTGTCTTACTGTGCCTGCCTAAGTAAAACACCTGATTGGTCTAATAAAAAGCTACACAATACAGGGACAGGTGGGGCTGGCGGGCAGAGAGAATAAGTAGGAAGAGGAATCTAGGCTTGAGAGAAGAGAGAACAATGGAGAAAGAAAGGGAGATGCCAGGGGCCAGCTAGGTAGGCAGCTGCCAGCCAGCCAGACATGGAGTAGGACATACAGTATTAAAAAAGGTAAAAAGCCCTGAGACAAAATGTAAATGAAGAGAAACAGGGTAATTTAAGTTATAAAAGCTAGTGGGGCAAGCATAAGCTAAGGCCAAACATTCATAACCAATAATAAGTTCCCGTGTCATGATTTGGGAGCTGGTTGGTGGCCCAAAAGAAAGCCTGCTGCAGTAGAAGGTGAAAACCAATACCCAAAATTCTACACTTGTATCGTGTCATGTATGCATGCACATACATACATACAGACAGACAGACAGACAGACAGCAGACAGACAGACAGACAGACAGACACAGAGAGAGAGAGACAGAGACAGAGACAAAGAGACAGAGAGAGAGACAGAGGACTTTAAAAAAAGATAAATTGTTACGGCCTCAAAGAGTGTTTGCTAGAATTTAAACAAGCCAGAGATGAGGTTTTAAGTTAGTATATATGTTAGAGAAATTCAGAATGAAAGGAACCATCAAAGTGGACTACAGTAATTGTTCCAGAAAGATTCTTGTGAGCAGGAAAGATGGGGCTGAAATAAGAGAAAAGGCATGAAAGTGAGTTGGGAATGTAGCTCAGTTGGCAGAATGCCAGCCTACCATACACAAAGCTCTGGTTCTAGTCCCTAGCAATGAATAAACTGGGCATGATGGTGAACGCCTATAAATCTCAGTAATCAGGAGGTGGAGGCAGAGGATCAAATGTTCAAGGGCATCCTTGGTTACACCATGCATATGAGGCCATCTTGAGAATCACAAAACCCTATCTCAAAAAGGAAATAAAAAAGGCACAAGAATCTGAAATCAAGAGTATTGAGTACACAGGATGAACTCCGAGAATAAAGGAAAGGTCCTAAGGCTCAGATACTGTCAATGCTGTGGAACAACTTTAGCTTGGGAGCTGTCTTCAAATAGTTACATAAATCTCTATGGTCAACTGTCCTTTAATACACTCAGGGCTGTATCACCTTTAAAAGTAACCTTGGTTTTGTTTTAGAAACTATGGGACTGAAAATTTTTATAGTTAACATTTTAAATGATATATATTTGTTTGGGTGGAACAAAAGACATTTCTTTCCTATATCCACAATAGCCAAAATTGTAAGCAGTATCTTTTGAAAAACTATCCAACACTTGTACCATTATAGTTATATATCTAATGCAATTCTTCCTGTAGGATGAAAGGGTTCTAAGTCTCTTTATCAGGTAGTTACCATCACCTCTTCATAGTGAGTTTTCACCTGTTTATATGTATTCAGTCATAAACTATGACATTTACCCAAGCCCTATTCAACTTCTCCAAGAATTTACTGCCTAGAATGATTTCACTGTGTGTGTACAAGGAATGAAAGTTACTACCCTATTGTACGTTTATGTCCATCTGTTTTCCTATTTTCACCAAAAATTATTTTATCCAATTGCCAAATGTCTAAACATTGCAACTGAAGATAATATATTTCCTCTTGAAAACAATTCTATAGCTTTCAGGAAAACTCTCTTGAGTGTGTGTGAGTATGTGTGTGTGAGTGTGTGTGAGTACATGTGTGTGTGAGTGTGTGTGTGTTTCTTACCAAAAATTTCCTCCTCTCCTCTTCCCTCTTGGTCACTTTATTCCTTCAAGGGAAAACCGTTTCTAACCACCACACACAGCGAGAACCCACACTCAACTTCTGCCCACTCTCTCACTAAAACTTCCTTCAGCAATCACACATCTTCATATACTGGCATATTGTGTGCACAGACTTCCCTGAAGGCTCCTTTTCCTCAGTTTACCACGGTCCTCTGACTTTTAAACTGTCGAGATCCTAAGAACTCCATTCTGCCACCTCTAAGCTCTGAGGGACTTACACATTACCTCTGCTAACAGGAAGAGATTAAGAGAGGCTGAGTTACTAATTATGAGGTCAGCAAGGAAGAGTGCCATTTGTTGATCCTCTTAGGGGGAAAAAACCCAAAAGGTGAGAGGATTAGAGTCAGCTGGAAACGGCAAAGGACTCAGGATGTAAACTAAATGCAGTAGATGCTACACCCACTTCTAGAGTAATTTATGTCTGCTTCGGGTATTTCCGGACACCTTAGAAATATTTACCACTACCATTAAACAAGGACAGACTGTGGTCTAAGATTTAGTCTATTATCAGCCCTATTGCTACTACTGTACTTTTTGTTAAGAGGTCAAACCTGTTCTCTTAGCAAAACTAAAATTTGAGCATAGATCTTTCTGCTAAAAAAAAAAAATCAATGCTCTCTCTCTAATTTCCAATAGATAAGGCATTTGCCTTTGATAATCATGAATTGTAGCCCGCTTTGTCTCCTTGTTTAAAGCGTGGTCAACCAAAAAGGTGCCTGCATTCTATTGATTTTGTACCTCTTATAAACAGTCTAGAAAGTACTAACTAAGGGTTCTTTTACAGTGAAATATGGGATATAAAATTATTATGAACTATTAGCTGCTATCACCAGGCTACGTAAAACAGGTATTGTAGGCATCCAGATAACCAGAAAAGAACAGCTGAAGGAAAGTCTGTCTTTAGTCTCTTTTTCCTTTTAAAACAGGGTCTTGCTAACCCAGGTTGGTCTTGAACTCATGATCACTCCTCAGCCTCGTCAGTGCTGGGATTACAAGTGTGTCACCATGCCTGGGTGGATACTTATTATTAATAAGTTTACTCTGGTTGATAAGGTTATTGGAACGTCCCACCTATGGTATAATTGTGGCATACTACCAGGACTAGTTTGGAATTAATACGAGGAAACTCTGAAAACCACGAATTGTGTTAGGTGATTTCATTCTGGATCTACTGTTTATGAGCTGCCACAATGACCACTCTTACTGCTACTAGAGACGCTGAGGTTTTGTTGTTGCTTTTACAGTAGCTACAGGGAACAAAAGGCCTTTGCACTTATCTAGTAATCTTCTAGGACTCGAGGGGAAGACTGAACACACATGCACACAAAGGGAGGGGTAGGCGTGGTGGCACACCCCTTAAATCCACGCACTTGGG